AAGTGCCAACATCTGTCTGTGAAAAGTGAATTAAAAGAAAAAACAAAAACCAACAGAAGAATGACAACATTGAGCTTCTCAAGTGGCTGTATCCATGACCCAAAAGGCATTTTCTGCTTCCAGCTTTTATGGCGTCCAGAGGTTAACTGCCTCATTATAACACCTTGCATTTCAAAGCAATTTTCTCATCCTACAAGGCCAGTAACAGTGAAGACAAAAAGTACTCCATGTGGGAAGCATCTGGGTATGACAGGATCCACATTACCAGACTTCATACTGTGCTATCTCTGGCTAAACTGCCTCTATATTCCATTTTTCTAAAATCCCATAGGTATTCTTCAGGTAGCTGCAGGCTACCTGAAAAACACACAGATCAAAATAAATCAGCAGAGGGAGCAAGTTCCCCAAGAATGGGGCTATAAGCCAGCCTCAAAGACTTGAACACTGGTAAGCTGGGAGGAATATTTCTGAAGTGACTCATTTGTCTTACTGTAAATCCTCAAACCCTTGAACAAGGCAGCAATGCTAGCCCTGTCAGGCTGGGCAGCAGATGGTATTTCTCTGCACAAGAAGCAGATTTAATAAAATGACTATGTTCCTCCAGCAACTGATCAGTAGTCAAGTCATCTTGTCCTAGTCTTTAACACTGTTGTTTGAGAGGGGAAGGCAGTTTTGCTTTGATTAGCCAGGAGTGATCAGTTCAAGCTAGTCATTCTACAGAGATAAAAAAAAACAACAAAATGAATAGTTGTTGTCAGGCATAAGTGTCTCAAAAGTGAATGCTTCCACACTTCAAAGTGGGCCTGCAAATTCTCTTCTGGATGAGAATGTGTATATTTTAAAACAGCGTGAAAGTATTACAGTAATTTATACTAGCTATATATTACTACAGAAACACACAGAAATGCATTTTGTCCCCAGGTGTTTCTGGCTGCAGCTTACCACTTTTTCACATCCACTGCCCAAGCTGCCTGTAGTACTGGTCCCAAGCATTGGAAGCAAAGTGATCTAAATTAGTCTGAAAATTTTGTACAATGACCAGGTAAGCAAAAAAACCTTTGCCCAAAGGATGCTGGGTGTTCTGTGTGGGCATTTCAAATGCATGTAAAAAAATATATATATTATTTTGACCAGAATAGCTACAGGAATAATATGTGTATTTCTACAGAATATAGTCTAAAAACAAAGTCAACGTCACCAGAAGAGTTCTTGCAAGAAACACAGCCATCAAGATATAACTGACTCATTAATTGTTAATTAGCACTCTCACTGAAGGTCTCATCTGTCTTATTTCCAGTGATGTGACATTCAAAATAAGCAATAAACCAGTAGAAGAGTGGCAATCAGCTCTCAAAGAGCATCTCCTCCACTGTCAGTCTTACTGGTACCACAAAAATCCCAGCCTAATGATTCACAAATACCTTGGAGGCTTGTGCCCCAGAACAGCAGTTCTCTTAATCTGACTGTCCAGTGCATTACAGCTCTTCTCTTGCCTAAAGCACTTTTGGAAAGAAGATAAGATTGAGGGGCAAAAAGACACTTACTCTTTCTCTTTGCTTTCTTTTTCCACTTGAGTGAGACACTCCCATTTTTCCTCCCGCTTCTTCTTACACATCACAAGGACTGTGTCTGTCTTTATCTGGACGGAGAACAGCAAGATACGAATTTAGAACACTAATAAAGGATGCCAGACACAACCACAATGAATAACATGAACTTTCACCTCTTTCTATATCCACCAATTCCCAAAACATTTCTTTGCTGTTGATTTTTAGGTAATACACAGAAATTCTAACACGCAGCTTCACAGCACCAAGTACTGACCTCACTGTGGTGGATTAAATGGCATGACTGATAGAATACTAGTACAGGACTAACTACTCTATGGTACAGCAGAACATACAGTGCTGCAGAAACACCAGTCAGTCATTTTAGGATACTAAAAGCACACAGGACCATCTGGTAAGTGGTAATACCAAGTTTTGGAAGAAGCTCTTCCAACTCATTTCTCCAAGGACAAGAAACTGGTTTAAGGGCATTGCTTCATCTCACAGTATGTATGCAAGTTTTAAGCAAAGCCTGTTTAATTGCAACCCTGACCTAAATTCCTCAAAACTGCTGTGTGCCATGGCACACAAAATTCTGCTGGAGTATTAGCTTAGCTCAGTGGCATGATCACTGTTCTTTTTCACACTATATTAAAAAAAAAAAAAAAAATCACTGGAGGACCATTCTTTTTTTGGGAGGGTACACTATTCTAGTTTTATGACAATTTCAAACTGAACCATTACTTGGTTCAATGGTGTTACAAGTAGCAAAGTAAGAACAGTATCTCAGTTGCAGTCATCAACAGTGAAAAGTTGCTCCTGTTTAATCTATCCCTTCCAAAGCCAGAGCAAGTTTTGACATTGTTTTAGACATTATGCTACTCATGGCTTTGGTCTGCTGACAAGCCTCCTGTCCTTAGAACTGCAAAAGCTCTCAGAAGTGTTTCAAAGCAGAAGAATGCAAATTAATGCTTAGTGGAATTTTCTGCTTAATTACTGCTGAAATCCCAATTGGAGGGCTATTCAGAAAAAGCATACGATACCTAGCTATTATCTTTTAAAAAAAAAAAGCCTATGGACTCTAGAGAATGATCCCACAATTACAACACCTAGAAATTCTAATGACATTCTGGCAACGACCATGTAACACACGGGGTTTGCACTGACCTTTCTGGAGCTGCCTTCCACAGAGATGGGCTTCAGGAGGTTGTTGAACGTCATGGTGTAGTTCTTTCCATTCAGATTCTTCACTAGCAGATCAAACGACCTGGAGCCAGAAGGTGGGGAGAGGGCAAACATCAATAAATACTCCAATCAGTATGAGACGGTTCCACCCTGCCACTGAAAACTGTCCTAGAGCCCTTTAACAGGTGTATTACTTGGAAGAGTATGTCAACTGGCCCAAGTTTCCTCCTACCCAGGGCTTTCAAATCTTCAGTTGGATTTAATACTGCCACATAAAAAAAAAAAACACTATATAGATTTGACAACAAATCAAGATCTTTACGGGGTTCTTTCTCACTGACCGCTCACTGACCTTTCTCACTGACCTCCTACAAACAAGGCAATTTTATTTAATCAACATTTCAGTTACATCACCATTAAAAACAGGGCTGGCACTACATACCCTGTCAAGCGTGATGAAGTGTAACAAGCATTTGTAATTTTTTTTTTTTTAATGCCCTCCGAAGGCATTTAATACTTATTTAGTACATACATATGCTTAAGGGTATGCCCTAATTAAACTGAAGCAGGGGGGCAGGAAAAGGCCTAGTTGATCCAGAACAGTACGCAACACTACACACCCCTGCTTTTTAAACGATATTTCAACAGTTCCTCACCCATGCTCTCTCTCATGGCATAATGAGAGAGAGTGCAACAAGACGAACTCACCTCTCTGTGAAATTCACCTGCACATTCTCAGCTGGAAGCTTCTGGACTCCATTTAAAGAGACATAAATCTTAATAAACTTATCTGACTGATCCCAACCTGCAAGAGAATAAGAGATTAAGATCTAGCTTTCCTCCATAAACTTAATGCATTGTGTTCTATGATTGCATGATTCCAATACTCCCACAAAGTCCCCTGGTAATGATCACAACCCGTGCCTTACGGAAACAACCTTCCGAGGGATAAGGGAAATGTGTTACTCCAGAATAATTTGAGAGCAAAAGAAGGTCCTCACAAATTCCTGAACTCCTCTAAATCTAGAGAAAAGCCATGCATCAACTCAGTAAAATGACAGAACTCCCTCTGTGCACGAGTTGGAGATGTCTGGTTTTGCTGCAGTTTCCTCGGCCCACTTTCTCCCAACACACCAGACAAGTATCTTGAGCAATTCCTCCCCCTTTTACCTACATGACAAGCAGAGAAGCCAAAGCTCACTCTTTCATTCTTGCTGAGTGCTACACAATGGAAAAAACACTCACTGGTACAGCAGAGACCATTAATACTTTATACCAGTATGGGACAGCACTCACACCAACAGAACTAACACATACTGCGCTCGGGGCCACACAGTCAGCACACAGAACCTTTATAAGTGGGGTCTCCAGTTCAAAATGAACATTCAATACGGCTTCCTACAGGACTACGTGAAGACTGTAAAGTCACTGACACCACGCAGGCTTCCCTTCAGCTAGAAACCTGAGCTGTAAGGGCTCTTTGAGAAGCAAACCTACCGTAATTGTTGATTTTCACTGTGTACCCTCCCAGTGATGACTTTTCTTCCTCTATCACATCTTTTGGCTTCGGAAGAGGCTGATTCTTGATTTCTAGCTCTAGCTTGTGCTTTTCCATCATCAGGACATCACGCAGCCGCTTCCTCGTGGCTTTCGCAAGCAGCTCTTTAACCTCCTCCAAATCCTTCTGCAGCTGTTTAACAACAAAAGATCGCACACGCCGATCAGACACAGCCCTCCTCTGCTCAAGGTTCACCGCCGAGCTCTCCCCTGCTCACCACACACCTCAGATTCACGCAATCAACGCCACTCTGCACGCTGCTAAGCACGAAGCCACGAACACCTTCGCTCCCCTACCACACGTACTTCAACGCTTAAGCTCCGATCAACCGGGACGGAGCGGAAAGCCGTAAATGTTTTATGACCGAAACAGCTTCTCCGCGTTCAGAGGCCAACAGACCCCTCACGCAGCACCCTTCCCGCCAGTTCCCAGTCAGAGCAGGGGGAAGGGAGGGAAGCCGCTCACCTCCTCGCGCGCAGCAGCCATGTCGCGTGTGGCACAACGCGAGCCGCACCTCCCAGCAGTGCCGACACCCCCGCGGCCCCTCTGGAACCTTCCGACCTCCCGCCCCGCCTCCGCGCAGCGGAAGTGACGTATTTCCCCTCCTCCCCAGGGCGTGCACTGCCCCCTCCTCCACTTCCGCTCCCCCAGCGGAAGGGGAGGGCCAAACCGCGGCGTTGCCATGGCGACGAGCGGGTTGATTGACAAGGCCCTAGAACGCGGGGAAGCGGGGCTGTTACCTCAGTGCGTTTCCCGCCGCCTCGCGCGCTGCGCGCAGCTGCTGTGTCGCATTTTCACCTCAGTCTGTGGTAGTTCGTAACGGCCGAGCTCAGCACGCGCGCTGTTCCACCTGGGGGCTTGGTTTTATTCCGCCCCTCTTCAGCTTTGCAGTTGAAGTATGTAATAAAACGCACAACTTGAAAAATATAAAGCTGTCAACAGTTGAAACAAGTAATATTTAGCAGGATTACTCTTGAAGAGTGGCAAGTGAAGTGCTCTGCTCTCACATCTTTTTACTTTTCTTTTGAAGTAAGGGTTAGAATACCTTCCCAGCAGGTGGTTTGCCTTCTGAAGGGGGATTTGGGCAGTGTCACAGCAGAACCGTGCTGCTGCAGTATTTCTGTCTAGTTTGTTAGCAGTAGCTTGTCAACCTGCTGCTGGTTCCCTTTGGAAATAGGTCCTCAAGTAATGCTTCATTCCAGTGGTTGGACTGAATGATCTTAGAGGTCCTTTCCAACCTTAATGATTCTGTGATTCTTCTTCTGCAGTGTCTATCTGCTCCTCAGCCCGCAGCTTTTCAGCCGCAGATTTCAGCTGACAGAATGCACTGTGGTCAGCTGGAATGAACTTCTGTGGCACGGTTATTTAATGGGCTAAGCCCAGTTTCTTCTTCTGAAGTTGCTTCCCTGTGGTCGTTCTGCTGAGCGGCCGCTGAGAGGAGAAAAAAATCAGTGCAATTTCCATAACTACTAATTAGAGTCTCTCCTCTGCCTGGTGGTGGGATTTCATTAGGAAGTGTTCATAGCTTTAGAATTGAAATTGGTATTCCTTTGCAATTTGATTTCTGGATACAGGGGAAAACACTTAAATACATAAGTGCTCTTGTAATTTGCTTGTTTTCTAGCAATTTTTAACTCTTCTACTATGAAAACAAGTTCCACATAGCTCTTCTGGGGGTAAAGCTGCAGTGCCACCTGAATGCTGTGTCCTACCCTGGCTATAAACAGGAGAGAGTGACAAAAGTTTTCTTCTGTGCATCCTAATGAGGAGCCAAGTGGCTTCTCTCAGGGGACAAGAATGGGAACTGTTCGTGCAGCAGGAGGTTGGTTAGGACTGTAGGAGTGCTGAAACTCGGCTGTAGGATCTTGCTCTGGTCTTTGTGGTGAACACGGTGCTGTGCAGTGTGTTCCTAGCAGCTCAAAGGATGGGGAAAAGTCCTTTGAGAGGATTTGATCTCTCCGTGGAGCACGAGGTAGCCATTCCCTCCTTCCACAGACACTGATACAAACTGATGACAAGCAACTTTTGGGTAGTGATATGGAGGTGAATCAGGACAAAACGTTACCTCTGGAAAATTAACCAGAGACAAATTTTAAATCTTCAGCTTTTCTATCTCTGTTCCTTTATAACTCCTCGTGAAGCTTAGCTAGTTATGCAGGGAGCTGTGGCTGTTCATCTCAGTTAATTAAAAAAAAAAAACTCCTGTAACAACTACAGGAAAAACTGGCTTTATAAAGCATTTGAATACTTCTGGTTGCTGCCACAACTGTTCTGCCCTGATCTTGCTCAGCCGTGCTTCTCTGTTGCTGTTTCTTGTTGACTCCTCTTGCTCCCTGCTTCTCTTCCTTCAGGGCTGCTGCCTGTTTCTCTTGCATACTTCAAGGAAGCATAAAGTCCTTAACAGCCACTCCTGCTTCCCCACCTGCTGCATATGAACAACCTTTAGGATAAATATATTTACCAGTCTGTTTTCTGTGCTAGAAATCTCAGAGCAGCACCTGGAGTGTCCAGCACAGTGCTTATCAATCAGATCCCTGTGGTACAGGTTACCCTTGTGAGCAGGTACATAATGCCACCAATTTGGAATGTGCTGTGCAACACGGACATTTTGGACAGCTGTCTGCTGAGCACCAGTGTCCTGGTACAACAGTGTGTTTCAAAATAACCAGCTGGAGTGAACTGTATCAGAAAACCTGACACGGCTGTTTATTCCTGCAAACTGTTTCTTAAGTGGCTTATCAAAATAAGCACCTTATTCTCATTTTGTTTGCATTTCCATTTATTTTACAAGGCATCGTTCACACAATGATAACAAGGTACTGATCCAAACAATTCTGTAACAATTAGAAAAGTAAACATTTGTTGTGACCATGTACATTAAATTGCACTTTGAATAACAAGCGTTACACTTATATTTCTGCATCATACTTTATATAATACATGGATTTGTTACACAAGAACGGCAGTATGGAACTGTTCTCAAAAGTCTCACAGCACTGTGATGCTCTTTCTTCCTAACTCTTTCTAGTGAGTATATTTTAAGAACAAGAGACACACTCAGATATCAAATGCAGCTAAAAACTTGGAAAATCTCATTAGTAATCAGCACTTTGAGGGTGCTCTTTACTTTCAATGTGCTGATGTGAATGGCAGACACACAGTGCTCTGGATCAGAATTATACTTGATTTGATCCTTTTCTGCATTGCTAACTTTTTTCCTGTGTGAACATACCAGAGAATTCTCTTACACAGAAAAGCATCAGTTCCCAAAGCTCAGGAGAGCTCACGGTACAGCTTTAGAAGGTGGTATTGGTACCAGTGTGTCCCCGGGAATTACTGGAAGGAGGGACTTGGGATCTGGAGAAAAAGCTGAGAACACACGCTTTTGTTTGCATTGATAGTAGCATCCATGTATCATATAAAATACAAAAATAAGAGAAACTGGAAGGAAATCAGTACAGCCCAGGATTCTGGTGGTATCAAATCACAAATGAAATCTATGATACTCGATCCTTTTGCTGTATTTATCTCCTTGGTATTCAGTTTCCTATATATTATTCTATATATAAGATATAGTTTTCCCAAGATACATATATATTCCTTTACAGGTTAAATAAAAGCAAATCCCACTGAATAAGAAAATAAGAAGAAGTAACATTCTAACTCTCTACCCATATCTTTTTTTTTTTTTTTTTTTTTTTTTCCCAGGTAAAAATAGCATGAAATACATTCAGTAGCAAAGCAGTTGGAATCCAGCAGAAGTGGAGAGCCCTGTATTCCTGGAGGATTAACCTGTACGTCTTAAGTCATGATCCTGAAACAAATTGTGTAGACTTCTGAGTTGAGAAAGAGAAGATCTTGATCAATGCTGATAATTAGCCATCCAGTTCCAAATTCTTTGTATTTCCCTAAATCCACCTATGGGTTAGCCCAGTTTTAAAGGCTGCAGTGATGTATACATAATCCATTTTGAAAGGTCCAAAAATCAGTGCTTCATTGTGTCTCCCCTTAGTACTGTTACTTGGAAGGAGGTAACGGGACAGCTCCCAGTAGGATGGTAGTGTAATAGATGGAAATAAATAGAATTTAGTTCAATGCTTTGCATTTGAAAGAACAACGTGATGCCTGGTGCTGTGTGTACCCATGGTGCTGGGTATACGTGGCATTGCATATCTCGTGCAGCCAGCTGTTTGAGCAACAGCCCTTTCTGCAGGGTTTAGCTGTAACAGAGGCATGCTGGTCAACCAGAATGACATATAGTAAGGTTTTCTCTGTAGCAGCTGGAAGAAAAAACCAGCATTGTAAGACAAGAGAGTTTCTGGTTTCAATGCCAAAGGTATTTAGGCTTACTAGATCATGTAGAAGTATGCCAATTATCCCTGAGTCTAACAGTAAATCAACATAAGAGGTATGATTCTCTCACACATACAAGTAGTTCCACAGATTTCACTGCAACTACTTAAAACAAAGGTGGGAACAGTCCTGTTTCCTGTGAAGAAAGCATCAATTTCTCACGCAGATTTTAAGTTTTAATGCCAGTAATTAAGATTTTCATTTAACTCCAAATGCCCTGTTCAGTGAGCGATACTGTGACACTGAAGTCAATGGGATACTTCATGCTTTGTCAAAGGGCTGAATTATTCCTGCTCTTGATGTTAGAGCTCCCTCTCCTGTTGTAAATTGCTGTCTTTATTCTGTGTTGTTTCTCACACACACACACAATGGCACAGATTTAAGTGTCTGTTTTAGGGAAAAAAAAATAAAGACTCAACAAAAAAGTTCTTTAAGATATCTAATAAGAAAAAAAATCGCTTATCTGACTTGTAACTTGGCTGTAGCAACCTACAGAACGTACTAATTAATGGGTGAGGCAAGGACGTGTTTGTCAGCTGTCAATACTGATTACATGGTTGACCACCTTTCCCAGTACTGGTTTCACCGAACATTAAAGCCTATGGGCACCAGGGATTTTGCAGTTTCTTGGATTAAAGCCACCCACCATATTTTTAAGTCTCTCTAAGTAAATTTAGGATTTGTTAAGTGCTATTGCTTTTCAGTACTGAGCCACAAAGATGAGACTAGTTCACAGATGTACCATGTAAGTACCTTGCTTCATCTACCCTGCAATGTGTTACAGTCAAAGTAAACACTTCTTTTTAAAGTGGAAAAAAGATAAGCAGCTTTGTTTGTTTTTCATAATGGACATCTCAGGAGCAATTTGAATCCAACAAGATGAAACAGTTATACTAAAAACATTCTTTGGAAGCTTATCCCTAATGAAAGTAAAGGCTTCACTCCAGAGGCATGCACTCTCAATAAAATTAAAACTAGATTTAGTTCCATAAAGCTGTATTGAAAATCATTTGAATTTTTTAAATGGACGCATAGTTTGATACTGAATCAGGAAAAAAAAATTAATCACTCCAGTCTTATGAGCTATGTTCCAGTGCCACATGAAAGGAAGTTTAGTATTTCCTGCTGAAAATCTCAAGGTTGAGCCAGCTACCCCTGACAGACCAGTCGCCCTGGAATATGAGTGTGTCTGTAATTGACTGCTGAAAGGACTAATTAAAAGCCAGATTTTCTTTTTCCTCACAAGAAAATATCTCAGTAACACGTACAGTCAGCAGGCCGACTTTTAGCTTTCCTGATTTAATCCCACAGTTTTGCTACTTTCTTTGTTTCTGAATATAACGATGCTTATTCATCAAGATAATGCCAAAGAGCTATTTTTTCTTATTCTTTCAGTAATTTTGAGAAAACAGTTTCAATGTATAAATATTACTCTTCCAAATGCCACTGCTACGAACACTAAGTGGGATGTACAGATGGAAGGTGAAAGTCATTTACTGCCTTTATATCATTACCAAAAGTGGATAGTTCAGCCATTCATTGCCTTCTGAAACTTCTTTTGAGAGGTACAAGGTAAGCCGGTTTCTATCTGACAGTGCTGTGAAATCATCCTAGCTAGCAGGTAGCAAACATGATTTTGTCACAGAAACTCAACTTCTAAAGTCAGAGAGCTGCTACACTGAGAAAGATGATGTTCTGTCAAACCTAGTTTCATGAAACAGCAGCTTACTTAAATCCCTTTTGATAAACTGTGAGAGCACCACTCCCATTTCCCCCTCATCCACTCACTCTCATTGGACCCATCGACATGACTTAATGTACTGACTTGTCAAAGGACTAAATGGCAGAAAAATATCCACACACACAATATTTTAAAATTCATCTGCAGTAAGTGCCATACCAAGGACAGGGACATGACTGTACAACAGGGAGCTGGGGGGTAGGGTCTCTGAGCAGCAGTGAGCTGTTACGGAAGCATGGCTGCTCAGGGAATTACAGTCTTAACCATTTTTTCTTGATTATGATGACATTTTTCCAATCCAGGCTTTAAATCAGACTTAAAGTAAATTTAAGACCTATTTAAGAAATGTGGACACTTGTCAAACCATCAGTGTCACTCATCAGCACAGCACTCTCAAACGTAATCAGTAAACGCTCACCAGATATTCTCAAGCGTCACTTCCTATTTTTTATGCTGTTGATACAAAGTGTGAAATGGTACTGATAAGTGAATGCTAGGTTAAGATAGTCCACACAATCTATGTAAATATTAGCATGAAAGTGTATTTTTCTCCTATTTGCAAAAGAGATCCCTTCTGCTTTCTCCCTCTTTATTCCCCCTTCTGCCCCCCAGTGTTAAGGTTTCCAGATGATCACTTGCAGATACTTTTAAAAATGCTAACATTCTTTAACTCCTAACTCTTAAAGAGAGAATTCTGTCGCAGGATCTCTATGTCAGGACAATGATTATAATCTGATCTCTGCTTCAAGCAGGTGACTATCCTTCTGAATCATTCCTTTGGCACAGATAAACATTAAATTCATACTACTCTGTTTGAAGTAATTCACAATTTTGCTTGACAACAAAGCACAAGATGAGTATCATTAAATTTTATTATACAAAACTGACAAGATATGGCATTCCTTCAAATTAATAAAAACAACAAACAATCAAGTCAAAACAAAACTGCTATACCTGGAACAGTGTTGTAAATGGAACAATTACTACACAACCTTTTGTTCAGCAGCGATATTTACCTGCAAGACCATTTTATAGACACGAGAGGTATAATTAAAAAAATATCCCATCAGTTCAAGCAATAGTTTAATTTTCCATGAAATAAGTCTTTCTATAAACACTTTATGTTCAGTCAAAACAAACACTTTTGAGTTTTCTTACCTTAGACAACATATAAAACAACCAGACAGGTTTGGGAATCATCAGAGAAGTCTATCCCATGGGAAAAGTCTAAGTTCTGTATTTCTCTTGAAAATGTTTGTCTTTATAAAATAAGTACTGTCAACAGCATTTCCTAGCCAAATATTTATAGCAAAAAAGATCCTGCTTCTGTGATGTTTTATTCACCAGTGCAGCAAAAAGCCTTTTGGGTTTGTATTTAATACTTCATTTCTGTGTCAAATTCAAAATTTGCAAATAGACCTAGGGAAAGGTTTCTGTTAATTGTATTCATAAAAGCTCTGCTTTATTGTACAGGATTTACAAAAGGGCAAAACTATGCAAGGTCTTTCCTCAGCTTCTCTGCTAAACAAATAAATTTCCAACAGTTTTCCCTTTCTCCCAGTGGAAGGAATGACTTCTTGGAGTTCTTAGTATAAACATGAAATAAAAAAGGGGGAACTAGGTAACTTTGTTAAGTTCCAGTTCACCTGTAAATAACCTTTAAACAACAGTGCTACTCAGTGCTACGAACAACTGCACAACTTGCATTTCTGAAGAAAAAACAACCCAAACAACGATGAAATTCTTGGGGAAGCTCATGAACAATTGTGCCAAGAGAGCACAAGGCTGTCTCAGCCTAAGCTTTACAAAAAGTGCTTCTCTGCAGGACACAGTCACTGCGATAAACTTCTGAGATGGTCCCAGGGCATAAGTTTTCCTAGACATTCGCACACACACTAGTACTTGTTACACTGTGCTTTCTGGGAAGAGATGATGCTGCAGTACTTTACATTTGACATTCTCTCTTCCTCCTCTTCCGGAAGAAAAAAACCTTCTATGCAAGATAAAAATAATTTTGAATCATTAGTCATGTATTAAAGAGCTAGTTTTGAATTATTTATTCATCTAGTCATATAAAATAAAGTGTAAAAGTATGAAGGTATCAGAACGTGGCTTTCAGCAAGGCAGTTTGGGAAGTAGGAATTCAACGTAAAACAATATATTTTTACCCTCTTTGAAAAGGGTCACATCAGAATGAATGAAAAACACTGAAGATTTCACTTCAAGCCTGCACGCCTGCCTTTTGTCCTTTACCCGAGAGGAGAGACCACTGGAAGACTCCCCCAGTGTTTCAGTTGTGTTGTTCTTTGTGCTCTTGTGTTAGGTCTGGCTGGAACTATGTGCTGCCCTCTTTGGGTGGCAGGGACGGCTGAGGCTGCTGCGGTGGCTGTGTGCCTGTGGCAGTTTTGATAGAGTTCAGGGTTTTGCTAAACCAAGAGTTTTTGGCAGCTTGGATTTCATTCATAAGGGCTCCCCTCTGGTGCTCCAGCTCCTAAGAAAGCAGAATAGTCAGAACTGATCAAAAACAATTAAAAAAAAAAAGAAAAGAAAACATCTTCAAACTCAGTCTTCTTACTTTCTTTGCAGCTTCCCAGGCACTGGGGAGAAAGGACGGATTAAAACCACCCAAACAGCAGATGATGGTTAGATATACAAATGAGAATCCTTTTTTTCTGTCTTTTTAAGGACAGACAATCAGAGGATTCTGGAAGTTCACATGCATACACAGCAGTACAGGTATATGCCATTTTTTTGCTTCAGGGAGACTGCCATGCAGTCCTCGGATTCTACATACCTGAATTTTGCACTTGGCTTCCACAAGCTGCAGTTTGGTCTGTGCAAGTTCCAGCTCCATCTCTCTCAGCTGCTTCTTCAGTGCATCCTTCTCATCATCTATTTCTAAGCCTTTATTATCCAGGCTTAGAGCAGGCAGCTTCAGTGTCCCCTCCTTACTGAAAATCTCACTGCAATGTTTGCAGGCCATCACTTTACCCTGGAATAGCCAGAAAGCTACTTTCGTACTTCACATTAAAAGAGTTTGGTAAGATCATGAACAACATTCTGGGTATATGAAACAGTATTTAAAAAAGTCCTTAAAACCTACTTAGCATTCTCTGTTTAAGCACAAAGACTTTACTTGTCAGTGAGAATTACTCAAACCTTCTTGCTACCAAGGCTTTGTCATATTTTGCAGTATTTATGTTGGCACAATTCAGAATAAATTACAGACTAGGAACTATCTTCCATAAAAGCACTTGATCAAATTCGTACAGATTTTGTTATTTGCAAGAAATCCAGCCAGCTTTTCTGTATTTCCAGAAGTAAGCAGTCAGTTGCAAGGCCTAGTACTGGCCCTCAGTGCATGTTTAGAATCATAGGGGACAGCCTTTCTTACTAACAACATCTGACACACAGTTGTAACGTTTTCATGCTGCCCGGTGAGATGAAGCAGACATTCATGGCTGAGGATGTAGCACAGCTGGTCTGGGCTTGCAAACTAACAGAGAATATTGAATTACTTCAGCAGTTTATAGGAACATCAATAGTAGTATATCTTTTGACGAATAACAGATAAAAACTGTCACTAAAAAGCAACAAATCAGGTTCAGTTTGAGTAGTAAGGGAACCACTAGATGTTACAATTGAGAGAAAATGATTCTGCCTACTAGCAGTGACAAAGCAGAGGGATGGAATTATCACCCGATCAGGAAATACTTAGCATTTTGTAGATACTAGTAATGGGACTTAGAGAATAGAGAGGAACTGCTAATGAAATTCTGGGGATGGCCCAAGCTGTGCCCTAATAGTAATTCTGATTCTCTCCACTATGCACACCCAAGTAGCAGCAGGTTTTCTCCTCTACAGAGCCATCTTTTGTTTACATTTAATGAAAACATCTGAGTAAATACAGCCTCTCTACACTGCTGCCAAAAGCACATTTCTACCAAAAAAAAAAAAAAAAAAAAAATCGACATTCCCTTCATTTTGAGAGTTCTAATCTGATAACTTCATTTTTTTTAACACTGCATGAAAAACATTTGGGGCTATCAGTGCAGCTGGGTGAATGTCATTGTTGTTGCAGTAAGCTTCAATTCACATTTTGTTCTGTATCACTGGCATTTAGCAACACTTGCATTAAAACCATTCCATATGGAGAAGCATTGGTCTCACCTTTACAACTTCCAGTTCATCTTTACTGGCAGTCTGTTGTTTTTCCAGCCTGGTACTCAGCTGGGAACAAATCTGGAGCAGAGGAAGCACTTTCTTAGATGAAATAGACTTTACAAACATATAACCTGTGCTTTTTAGCAATGATTACTTTAGAGCAAACGTTTATTAAATTCTGCCTCACTCAGCTACATGTGTTCCCCCTTAACAAATTCACTGCTGGTGATAACTAAGACTTAAAAATAGCAGTATTTGATACAGTACCTGAACACAGGGACAGGAATATTTTATAGACTGTCTAGTTTATAATGTTTACACTGCTTTGTGTCACACAGCAAAAACAAACAAATAAATAAAAATCACTCTACAGTAGTAGAAATAGCTTAAATATAGATTATTTTGGTTTCCCTCAGTCAGCAGACTATTAGGAAATTCACAAGAAGATGAATCAAAAAATATAAAGCCTTCTGAAAGCCTAAAGAGTAATGTTTTTTTAAAGCTTTTTAACGCTTATATGAAGGATGAGATGTGCAACTCTGACAATTCAGCTCTCAGGCGGGGTTGAAAAAACAATTTACAAATAAATATGAGAAAGTGTCTCTATAGAACATTACCTGTTTGTAGTCTGCAATAATAGCTGTGGTTTTCTTAATCTCAGATTCTGCCTTCTCCAGCTGCTTCCTGAAGACTTCCTTCAGCTAGGAATTGAAGCAGAGAAGTTACACAGTACAGTGAAAGAAGTTCTTGAAATCAAATTGTTCTCTCAACGCCTGTCGGTGTTTACAACACTTCTATACCTTTTTCTTACCGATTTCCACTTCTGGAGAACAGGAAAAGGTCAGATTCATTTATTACACAAATACCTACTATAACCAAGAAGTCTACACTGTCATACAGTGTATCACTGAGAGTTCTCTGTCAAATAGCACAGCATGGTTCAGAGAAGATAAAAGACAGCCAAGTGGGTGACAAGAGGTATGGACAGACAGGTTGGTTGGATGGAATTGGAACAGGGAGAAGAATCTCTCAGCACTATCACTCACATCTGTAAATATCTGGTTTAGTCAGTGATACTGCATCAAAATACAGCTAACTCATTCCTCTATTGTTAAGAAGTACTAAACATAAAGCACCCTTTCAGTAGGAAAAAGGCCTCCATTGCCTTGTACGTAGTAAATACAGATCCTGGTAGCCTCCATTTTAGGCAGAAAGGGAATAATAATTGGTTTGATTGTTACAATTACTGTTGTCAAATGGCAATAACAAAAACCACAGTACTGCTCTCAAAGCATACTAACGTGTATGTTGCTATTCAGCATGTAAGTTATGTAGGATTAAAACTGCACATTTTGCTAAAGAGCATGAGGTCTGGTCAGCAGCATTATCTCAACCCTCAACTCTGTCCTACTGTTGGTTCTAGCTCCAGAAAGGAATGTCCACAGCTTTATTTCAGTGAAGCTGCAGCCTCTTACAAGGCAATGATTCTTCCAGCAACCCTTTTTAAATAATTAAAAAAATCTGATTGTGCCTCCTTAGTTGTGATTGCTCTCCACCAGTGAAAATTCTTTCTACACTGGGGAGAGGATAAGATACAGAAAAGTGGACATTCAGGAAACACTCAAAAAACCAAAACGCACACATTTAGCCTGGCACTTTGAATTTTTGCCACTGCATTTTGAAGACAACAGTTATGTAACTTCAGTTCAATCCTGCTTTTCTGATTAACTTTTTGCTTGCATTCAGCTAAATGGGAAAGATTGGAGGAATGCCTCACCTGAGCAGTTTCCTCTTCCTGCTTCCTTTTCTCTTCCTCAGTCTCCACTAGTTTCTGTTTGGTCAGGAGAAGCTCTTTGTTCAGAACATCTGCTTTGTCTTCAGCCTAGAATGAAAAGCACTGGTGTAAACCACATTACCTGTGCCCATGCAAGTGGACTGATGTATGTATCTCACAGGTACAATGGATTCAGGATCTAGAGTTGCCTTTTCCTGACCTCAGAGGGTTCACCCAATCTAGTTTGTAAATGAAATTCCCGTTTCAAGTAGCTGCTAAGATATTCCTTTGTGCTTCAGAAACTCTGCAGAATGACCCTTTTGCCAGATGTTATTCATACCCAGGTAACAAGCACAGATCACACATCCTAATACAAACCTAAGACAAACAATATATAAAGTGCTTTTGGTTGGCAGCAATATGAATCCAAGCGAGGGCAGCATGGTCCAGCTGCTGCATAACTTTGCATACTGCAGAAAAAGTTAGGGGCCTGCTATGTACTCTACTGTATGCCAGAGCTTAGGTAAGTAGTGGAGACAAACTGAACCACTAAGTAAGTTTATTTATCAGTGCAAACAAGTACTTCATGGAGAAACTTGATACAGTGTGTGTACTGGAAAATACACTGGGAATGCTTTGGGCTTTGTGAGAACTATTCTCACTGGTCACCAGATCCATCACCGGGGAGAAATGTATTTTTCAGTGCCTGGATATATTCTGCTGGCTTCCCCACCTGGCAGATGCACACTGCATCACACCACATCTGCTCAGTAACTACATGGTAGAACAGGCTATGGCCAGTGACAAGTAATACTTTGCTGAAAATATAAGAGAGAAAATGGCATCATAAACAACAAATAACAGTAAAGAGCTTGTCTCTGACTTGCACTTTGTTTTTCTACACTGCCAGTGGTATCAGCTTATCTACTGACACAGTGTGAATTATGAGGGAGGGTGCTGGTGGTGGCTGTGGGTAGCAGGCCCTGGCTGAAGTGATGGATTGAAGACTCCTGCACTGCTTACTGTGTACATGTGGCTGCATGGGAAAGAGGAAAAATGAGCAGTGAAGGAACTAACAAGTGATAAGGCTGACATCTTAGAACAAAATGACTTGAGAATGACAAAGGTATTTTTGATAAAAGACCTAATAAAGATGTACTTTGAAGGAATAATTAAAAATCTTTGCTCCTTTTATGTGGTTATTCCAGGTTCCCAAGCACCTGCAGTGGTGCACAGTGTCACCTCTCCTTGCAAGTGAAGAACAAAGCTTTTCTTTCAGTGCTGCTGACCTGATGTGGGGAGTCCCCTTCATCTACAGAAAGACTGATAAAATGGCGGAGAGCAAAGAACAGAACGGGCAAAAGTACATGCTCATCAGCTTTGTCATGATACTGCAGAAAACAGCAGGGGCAGAAGCAGATAAAACTGTTATTCCTGGGGAAGACAGAGCACCGTGATGCATTGCTTTTGGCCTTTACATCACAACGTTCACTCCATCACACAGTGCAGTATCTGCTTGTACTTATTCATCTAGATGCCTCTGCTTTTTAGAATCACATGAATCAAGATCAGTAGGGCCTAGCTGTCAGGGGTATAACTAAGTAGAAATACAACTTGCATTGCTATGATCAATTATGTTTACAATTCTGAGGTTAGACAGAGATAGACAAATAACTACTGAAAATCAAATTGAGAGTCTCTTGTAGGAAAAGATTTTAAATTACAAGAGGCACTACAGCTTTCACTAAGCAAGACTCCAATCAGGAGGGGTGTTACAGCATGGCCCTCTTGTCTTCTCCACCTTAATAACAGTCGTTAAGGAATTTATCAGTAGTGCATAAGACAGTCCAGAAAGAGGAGGGTTGCACATGTAGTTCTCTGACACCATCTGTGAAAAGAGCTGTGAAAGAGCTCTGAAAGCTACCCCTGTATGCTCCAGTCTTCAGAGGAAACAAGCAGTTATCAGTGGATGCCCAAGAACACTTCTAATTTTTGTTGCCATGGATCTACAGTAAAAAAATAAATCCATGTAAGGTAGCAGGCACTCTGCCACGTAACTTCCCTTTAAATCAGTCTTTCAAGGAGTACATGACACCATTCTCAAATACATGTTCATTCTTTGGTACACCTGCATTCACGTAGAGATATGGCTCTCTGACTGTGACTAGAAATAAGAATGTCAGGAAGACATGGGTACAGATTATAATGCTTTTCATTTTGTATTGATGCTTTTACTTGTGTACATAACCTGTTATGGAGCATAACCTGGCTCCTAAAACTGCCATTGATAAGCTGGAGCTTGGACCCATCTCCATGCCAAATCTCCGTTACCTGGTCCAGGTCATTCCGTAAGGCAATTTTGCTTGTTACAAGCTCGTGGGCAAGGTCATCGTTCTCCTGCTCCAGCCTCATGCTAGCTTCTTGGAGCCTGCGGTTTTCCCTCTGCAGAAAGAAAGGAACAACCAGAAGAGGATGTTAATTCTTATCAATATTAACGAGTGATAAGTGAATATATTGTGTGTATAAAGCACCGAGAAGGCAGAAGTGCACATTAAGACAGGACTGCTGCTCTGAGAAACAACAGTGAATTAAGCCAGCAGTGCAAATGCAGCAATTCCACTTACATCCCAATGGATATCTTTGAGTCGCACTAAGTGAAACACTGATTGTAGGGCTTCTCTGTCCAAGGTAAACACAGTCCTCTCTGTAAAAACGCCTCATTTCTGCTTGCTCATCATCAAAAGAAATAAGGCAGATAAAATCCCACCAGCAGCAGTAAACAGGGAAATACTCAAAATAAAGTTTTCAATCAAAAGAACAAAGCTACCCTCTGCTCCATTTTACAAAACTCCGTCTGCAGGCAGTTCATAAAAGCAGTCCATTTGTAGATGACATCGTGCCAACCGCTCATCTTCTGTGGGACCAGTATAGAACCCATAACCTGCACCTCCATTTGCATGCTCTCTCTATAACTTGCACCAGTGACAACAAGAATGTTTTAAGGGTTCCTGCTGAGCAAAAGCACCAGATGAAGAGAGGCTGTCACTCCCTGAGCACAGAACATGTTCTGCAGCTGATGCATGGCAACACAAAATGTAGAACTGTGAGACTGCAGGTCCTGATGCTCCCCTCAGCACAACCAGACCTGTTCCACAAAGGAGGAACTAACTATGTAGAGCACTAACTAATGAGGGTAAGTGCACGGGGAAAAAAAATTAACAATTCACGTTTCTTAAAAATCAGTTTAAGTGACTGTTCTAGAGATGAGAAGCAGAATTTCATTCAGAAGGGATCTGTGGGTTGGTGGGCTTGCAGAAGTCCACACCAAACCCTCTGCCTTCAGAAGACACAGCCAGTTGAGCCAGATGCAGCTCCCCTCCTCAAACACATTTCGAGATTTGCTGGCTTTTGGTCACACAGTTACTGCAAAAGAGATCATAGAGGGAATTTATGCACTATGAAAACGACAAGCTCACAAGGAAACCTGTAGATGGAGAAATGTAACCTACACAACAGCATCTCAAAAAGGACACTCAGAAGGTAAGTTCTGCTCTCCAAAGAAAAACAGTAAAAGGGAATATAGATCAACAACATTTTCCAAGGGTTGCTCAGTGAATGCTTTTCCACACAATGTGATTTCTTTGCAGAAGTGTACTATTCACCAGCCTTCACTTCCTCTTGCTCAACAGCTATGCTTACATATTTTGCTCCTTCCAAAGCTCACCGCAGTGAAACTACTGCTTTCATCTGTTGCAAAAAAACAAAAATTTTGCATGTTTGTCTTCAAAAAAAAGGTCAACTATGGTTCTAAGAGTATGCTAAAAAAGGTCTCCTCTTTGTGTTAGCTTCCTCTGTGGCAGGAAGCAGAAACTGTGCAAATACATTCTCCTTAGTGTGACCTTATTGTGCAAGTAGATTGTGCACTGCCCTGCACAGGAAAGTCACTTGTTTCCTCTCTGAAAGACAGTACTTTAAATAACTTTGTTGTTTTATTTTTAAATAGGAACTGTAAAATATTCCTGTCTCTCACAGTTAAAAAAACCACTGCAGAAAGAGGGGATTTTTTAAATTTTAATCACATTGTGTTCTGCTTGAGACGGGGAATTTTTAGAAGTAAAACCATCCTATAAGGATAACATGTTCTTTAAAGCATAAAACTAAATTGCTGTCTTCAGTAATAGCAGCTCCAATGCATCTTTACTTCTGTACGTATTCAGACCATCCAAGAAACATCTGTTTTTATAGACACAGGTTTGTCAGTGAGCAAATAACAGAAAGTCTCTTCAGTTCACTTAAAAACTGGGACAAAATCAGGACTGTATTGCTGTCAGGTGCTACAGCGCCAATACCTTTTCATAGGGATGTTGCCTAGAGCAAAAATAACCCAGAAAGAAGTTTGCTGTAACATTTTTGCTATGCTTTCGCCAAAAGCTTCGGTGTCTGCAAAGCAAGCTGCACAATGTGAAGTTTGAAGTTCCTGCTTTGCATTTGCAGACAAGTGGTAAGCAAGCTGCGTGGTTGGAAATGCGCTATCCTCCTCTTAAACTGGAACTGACATCTTTAGTAAGTTAAACATCTCTTACCTCGGGCATCCAGTCAATAGCTAAGAGCTGAGTCTCTCATTGGGCCACCTTTACTCTTCCTCCATACAGGGCAGTGTGCACGACTAGATGGTTTGTCCTTTCCAGCTCCTCCCCCCCTGATCTAGCAGTGTAAAACTGCCTCCTTCCTCAGGAGGAAACTCTCATCTGCTTAAAGTCTAAATAAAACCTAACGTTATACAACGAAGATAAAAATATCAAATGGTGCTTTTTGTATCTAGCAGACTACTTCCGATGGCTCTGAAATATATACAGGTTTTATAAAATACCAGTTGCAATGGAACAGAGTTCAATAGATGGAGCTGGTTTGTTTCAGCAGGACCCACAGGCAGTATTTTGTATCCTGGCATGAGCCAACTCGTCAGACCTGCTAGATGTCTTTTATAAGCAGCCAGCTTCCTGCCTTTTCTTTGCACACTGCTAATAATTCACTGACTGTGCCAACAATTTCCTTCTCATCAGCATTACCCAGTTCCTACAATCATTAAAACATGATATTCCCTCTTTCCTAAATTCCTCCTTCCTGTTACAAAAAGCATCCCGTGAACTCTTTTAAAAGGAGGATACTGCATTTCCAAGAGGGACAAACATTGCTGGTACGAACAAACACAAAGAAACTTACCTCCAGCAAAGTCACAGACCAAATACTGCTTTCAACCATTGGTGTAAAGATAGTGAAAACAGGATATAAAATATTTTTAATACCAGCAAAATCAGAAGGAAAAAAAAAGTTGCCAATTCTTCAGTCTTTAGTTCCTATTTTTGAAGAGGATATTCTCCAGCTTCCATCACACACTTGATGGAAAGAAGGCAAATTTGAAAGCAGGAGGCAAGCCTCAGTTCAGGGAGACTGAAGGGCTGAAACTCCACCCTCTGCTCCCAACCAGCCAGCACAAAGGAGCAATACCAGACACGATTAGTGATGATGATGCATCCTCTCTATGCTGCTACTCAAGCTGGGTGTAACGAGTCACAAACCTTGTTAAGCAATTCAGTGTCACATTTTTGGGTAAGCAAACACCCAAACCACAGATCTTTGGCAAGAACAGGTCCTCAGCGATGGAATGAAAACACTGCTTACAATTCACTTTCCTGATGCAATCAAACTCAAGGCTTTGTAAGCCCATTGGGAAGAGCTCTGGATTGCAAGGGCAACTCTAAAGGAAAACTCTGAGAAACACCATCTTTTGGTAAAAGCCAAAAGGCTTTCACACCACTACCCAGGAAAACCTTTTGTGGGAAGCAACTCAGAGGCTCCTTGAAGTGGTTTGTGTCTTTCCTTGCTGACTGTGAAACTAAGGTCCCAGAAGGGCACTAGCACTTTTAACAAACAAATTGAACAAAAACAAATAAACAAACAAACAAAAAACAACCCAAACCAACCCACAAACAAGTAATCCCAACAACAGTTACCTTCTGTTTTTCCACATGGCAGTTACCATTCAGTTACCATGACTCTGAATAAAAACGCTTCCACTTCAAAGACAGAAAAAGCTATTATGTCCAAATCACACATTTATTCAGATAGAAAACATCTCTGTCGCACAACAAAGTCCATGGAGGAAAATGCATTTCTACCTTCAGAGTAAAACCTTGGGCACAAGCAGGGTCCAGCCAACTTTATGTGGATATCTCCCTTTTATTTAAAACAAAAGGCTGCTGAGCCCAACTTCAGCAATTTCTTAGCAAGTCAAACACAGCCCTGTTATATGAGATGTTCTTAAACACAGAAAAAAAACCTGTAACAATATATAGAAAATATCAATCTGAACCATACTGCCACTGTTTTTTTCTGCACATACAGGTCACTTCTTTTTAACTGACTCCTATAGGCAACTTGTTCTTTATTTTAACTAAAAAGTAAGAAATTTGGTGGCAACGAGCAATTTCGAACGTGTTTACTTTTGCATCCTTTAAAAACCTGACAGCATTGTGAATGATGACTTCTTATGAACGATGGAAGATGAAATTACTTGACCATGAAAATGTGTCCACAAAAAAATATACTTTTCCTACATAATACTTGTAAATACAGAAGGAAATAAACACCAGAACATACGGCACCTGTTAATACTGTTCTTTTGGTAAAGCAGTTCTATCACAATCAGCACATGAAATACAAGCTGAGCAGGAGCTCCTGTGGCATACAGCACATCTTACTGTGGCATGTGAACTCAACCTGTCAAGGAAATGTGACTTGTTAATGGCAGGCGTGACATGGCAAAAAGAGCCCTTTTGTGGAGTTTATGGGCAGCGTGGGGGTGGTGGCTCTGCAGGAGCACCCTGCTGGATGCATCCAGCTGCCCTTGGGCACAAGGCATCCCCTTCCTGGCATTGCTCCTCAGCCCCAGTGTTACTGTGCTCAGGAATACCAGGACAGGAAGAAGCTGTCGTGCACTCCATGGGTCATGGTTTCTCTCCCTGAAGACAGACTGGTCCTCAGCAACGGCGAGAGCTGCATCACCTCCTGTGAGCTCTCTCCCTGCTGCTCACAAGGCAGTGCAGACAGCAGGAAGAGACAGCAGCTCAGCTGGAGCCCTGCTGCCACCACAGGAGGTCATGCTCTCATCTGCTCCTCAACAGGGAGGGGTCTTGCTGAACACATCCTTCATCCCTGCAAGTCAGGAGCACCGATACATCACCATCACTGAGTACATCCCTATGGTCAAATCTACTGGCAACAAAAAACACAACAGACTGCAAACAGCAAAAACTGTAACAATTATAACCAAAACCTGTTAAGAGGCTGCAAGCCTGTTTCCTTCTTGAACATTCCAAGTGGTACCATGAGCCCAAGCAGTCCCCTCTTCCTAGGTAAGTAAACCTAAGCAACACAGCATTCTGGAAGATTACAAACAAGGTGGACCTCTAGGGCAAAGCCCACACAAAGCACACAAGGCCAGAGGAGGTAACAGCAATGCTGTGCTCATTGGCAATATATTGGCTTTTCACCAGCGTTGTCTCCAGCATTTCCCTAACCAAGCCCAGCCAGGCAGTCTAGCACTGACACTGCCAAAACCAAATGCATTTCAAAACACAAGGGCTGCTGTGTGATCATTTAAGGGACGAGCAAAGCTGGCTCTCCACTTTCTGTCCACGAGGGTCCACAGCTTGCTTTCCTGTTGCCCTTTGGAATCTCTCTTGAAATGTCAATTCTCACCAACCTCAGCCTGACACACAAACAAAAAACAAGCAAGCGAGACAAGGGACAGAGAGCACTGACAAGCATTTCTGCACCACATCAATCAGCTGAAGAATGAGTCTGAACTTTGCATTTAACGTGCAGCTAACAAGTTCTGGAGCCTACCTAAGCACACCATCAGTAAGAAGAGCAGACCCAACAAAGGCAATCGGACAAGTGCAAGCCAACATCTGTGCTGTGCTCTTGGCCGTGACAGCGACTCACACAGGCAGTGACCACAGAGCCACTTTCTATACTCTCATTTGCAGTTCGGAGATGATATTCTTCACTGTCCATCACCCAGGATTAACCAGTTATAAACATTTATAAACCAGTTATAATACATTTCCACAGAGCTTTAAAGAAGCCTTCTTTGGCTTTTAAGTATTAATTCCACAGTAGTATAAGCGAACCACTGGAAAAGAAGTTCATCAGCAGCAAGTCGTGTTTTTTTCTCAATGTTCTGATCATCAGCTCTTGGCAGTCCCAGTTCTCAGAAACAATAAAACATACACTCTTTGACATAAAAGAACTACACTTAAAACATTGTTTTTCACAAGCAAATATTTTTTTTAAAGTCAGTTTTACTTTCTTTGTAACTGTAACTCTATCTTATCATATTTACAGACTACAGCATCGTCTTTCACGCTGTGGTTTTATGAACAAGCTGCACTTTCCTTATGCTCACATATTATGTAAACCTGTGGCAGCACCTGTAATTATTTACTAGCCCACACTCTGGGCAGACTTTGTACCAACACATAATAAGGCACAATGAAAAACGGCAGGAAAACATCACAGGTGTGTATAAGCAATGTCAGTTCCCAGCAAACTGGGCAATATCCAGTAAAGTGCTTCATCTTCGGCAGCTTTTCCCAAGGAACACTATTTAATACTGGGTAAGCAATAAAAGAATCCTGAAGCTGTGTAAAATATAAACCTAGAGGCAGAGCCTCCATCGCACAAAAATCTATGGCAACAGAACGTAGCAGTAACAAGAAAACAAACATATTGGAAACAGTGCTGATCCAAAATTATCGAGGACTAATTTTTTTTTTTGTCAACTATTGAGCTGTCATATCAATAACTGAAACTTTATTCTTCTGCTGCTATTTATGACTATTAATTCTATTGCAGTAGTATGCTAGGACCCCAGGAGAACACTGGGTCCCACTGTACTAGCCATTGTACTGACAAAAAATTACTAACATTTGCTATAAACAGAGTTGAGAAACAAGGACATATCAAGCCAAGGAAGAGTGCATCTTCCAAAAGTCTCTGTGGATGTTACTGCACACAGCTTGGGCTAGAACAATGTGTATTTTCTCCTTTCTGTGTCTGTAGCTGAGAGTCACCCTTTGTTTCTGCGTCTCATGAAGATCTCCCGTAAAAGTGCAACAGCAGGAGAGTTACCTACAAACATATAAACTGAAAGAAGAAAAATATTATATGTGGCTACTTGAAGATGTCTTGAGAGTAACAAATCGTGATTCAAACATCCCTGCAAAAACACTGAGTGTTCAAAGTGCTTGTACAGGAGAGGGAATGACTTTTGCCTACCATTTTAATTCCCTGAAATCTGCATCAGCAAATCCTAGAGAGGTGAGGGTGGGAGCACACCTCTGCCTAATGGCTGAAACTGCATTGCTCCCCACGTCATTCAGCAAATGAAAGAGGTTCCCACACAGCATCTCCCGTACCTTGTATCTGTCCATAGGATCTTCCTGCTGCAGCTGACTCTCTCGCATTGTTTGGTACTCTCTCTCATATTTCTTCAGTTTTTTTGTTGGCACCTGTGGGACACATTTGGAAGACATGCATTTAAGGATCAGAGAAACACCAGAAAGGCTATCTGAAAGTTCTGCCTGCAAGCAGGAAGCAAAGGAAGTGCTGGAAATTGCTACTGACTTAAGTCGCTCCCCATTGCTCCCTCCCCCCTTGCTCAGCAAGCCATGTCAAACACTTACCGATACACTGCAGGCTGGCTGAAATCCTCCTGTGCCTATTGCTGGTAATTTTTCAAATACTTGGAGACATTGCAATAAGAAACAAGAACAAAATGGAGCCAGAGAACAGGGAAGAAGAAAATATGCATTGATATGTATGATTCACTGAAATAAAGTGCCTAATCAAAACAAACCTGCTAAAATGAATTAGAAGAAAGGAGTGTGAGTGCAAAATGACAGGAGAATTCCCTGGGGGAAGTCAGAGTAATGGTTTTTATTGCTGAAAGAGTACTAATGTCTAAATTACTAGCTTGTGACCAATGCCCTCGTGAAGTCTGGCACCAGACTCCTCCTCGGCAAAGGTGGAGATGCTACAGTGCTTGCTGCCAGCCGCAGCAGGGAAACAGAGAGGCATCAACACTGAAATCACAAGCAAATTCAGTAAACAACGGTGTGTAAGGGTAAGGTCCCAGCAAGCCTGGCTCCTGGGAAGGCACAGTTTTGAACATGAAACAAGGGACACAAAGAGCACCTGTATTTTCTACAAACCAAGCACAGAGATCCTGTGCTTTCCTTTCACCTTGGTACACTGTTATATGACCACCTCTCCGGGGGCCTCTAGTAGCATTACCATGTCCCTCCCGTGCAACAAGAACCCAGCCCTGCTAAATGTGGGATCATGGGCTAGCATCCAGAGAGATCACTAACACCACTGACCACTGTGACTCGTAAACATACGCTCTTTCTCTATTTGTTATGTATATATCTCCTCCTCTCTCACATATTGATCTTGTCTAGCCAACTGCTGGCATGAGGACATGCTCCTGTCACCTTGCCTTAGGACACAAAGTTACTGCCAACGAGCAGTTATATGTTTACATGTAATTTTGGTGTTGTTTTTCCTCTTACTGGTTTTCAATCCAATATACCTCCTTCCTCTGTGATGCAGGAAGGCCCCTGGTACAGCAGAAAACATGAAACCTGTGACCTGCAAAGCAGCACACAAGGAGCTGATAAAGCAGCATTACTGCAGTTAGAGTCTTAAACCAATCCCCTACAAATAAAGAGAGGAGGAAAGGAGAAACATAAAAACTTTCAGCATTTTGGACAGACATAGAAGAGAATTTCCCTTTGATCACTCTTTATTGCAAACCACAATGAGATGAAAATGATTTAATCAGAAGAGTGAGGAATGTTTTTTACTTTTCAACAGAACAACATTCAGAAAGCAAAACCAGCCTGCTTTGTTTTAGGTGCAACTTGATGCCATTGATGCTATTTAATAATCAAGAATAAGAAATAATTTCAACACAGAATTTTAAATGATGTGAACCCATCATATATCCAATCTTCATCTATTCCCAGCTTCCACAGTGCTCGCTTTCATCTTGTTCAGACAGACAGATCAAGGTTCCCAGGCTGGAGCACTGCGAGGATCCTCCAGACTCAGCTCTCCTGTGTTATTTTGTCACTCTGTGCTCCTATATGCTACCAGCACAAAGGGAAGATAAACATGGGGGAGATGTCATGGAGCAGTATAGGAAAAAGGCACAAAACGGGTGAAAAACAGAAGAGGATCTGTACAACTACATATTTTCCTGTATTTTTGATGGTTTTAATAAAGACCAAATTAAGCCTTTGAGGTACAAATAAGAAGTAAACTTCACTACACAGAGAGACAAGCATCTCCCAGCAAACAGCCACACAAATGCTGCAGTGGGAATCAAGCCCTCCAGAGAGATTTCTTAATACCCAGTGACAATTCACACCAACCATTCTTCTGTTTCTCCCTTAGGTTTCAATAGATAGCCATGAGTAGGACCAAGCATGGGTCCTCTGCGGCCATCAGAGGGATGAGCTCTCCTGCATGCAATTACAAGAGCTGCCCATGATTGCAGAGCCTGTCAGCTGGGATGAAGGCAGAGCGACAATGTTATATCACCTGTATTAAACCATAAACCAGGATCAAACCAAAGAGTGTAAGCATTGGTGCAAGGGAATATGCAATGACATAGTTAGAAAATGGCTTCCAGGTATGCTGAAAGAATAACCTGACTGGTACATTAATGCCTACTTATGACACAACTTCGTCTCAGCTGGAAAGCAGTATCTAAACACAGTGAAATTCCATCTTAAGGACTTTGGGGGAAAACAATTAGAGAAACAGTTCATACAAATCCATTTAGCCCATGAATATAAACCCAAAGCAGTATAATTGTAACTCTGGCAGGGTCCAGGCTTCACTGTTACCATCCATTCAGCCACAGTACCCAAATGAGCTTGATAATTTCTCACAGAACTTCCTTCTTCCGCACACACTGCTAAACAAAAACAGAAAAACAAGCCTGTTTTCCTATTCCCTGATTTAATTTCCTGAGACAACTTGTGGATTCAACAAGGGACTTCTCTTTAAGCTCCTTCATAAGAGCACAGTGCTAGCTATGCTTCAGTCTTCATGGATTGCTCCTGAACAAAGCGTGCTCATAAATTTTCCGTAAAAGCTTCTGCAATATTGATTCCTTCTTTCTTTAGCATCATGGTTATACTGGCTAGAACTGATGGTTATCAAATTTAGGAGGCTCTTATGGTTTATAAGCGTGGCTCATCTGTTTATCTCAGTATCTTCTTGACTTGTGTTCTTTTATCACGTCGCAAGCAGTTCTATGTACAGGAAAAACACACAGAGCATCTCGATAAGACATCCAAGCGGATGAACTGAACAACAAATCCTCTTCCTGCAAAAATAACATGCGATTGCACAAAACATTCAGGGATGCACTGCAGTGTGCTGATAGGCAGCAGGTGAGAAAAATGCTCTGTTGTTAACTTGCTATTGTTCAGACAGGGCTGGAAAAATCTGCTTCACCCTTCTCTAGCAATCCTGCTCACTGGCAGCCTGTGGAGCACCAGCATTCACTCAGCTATGGGAGATCTCTCCCTCATCCTGCAAATTCTGTGGCTGTTTACAGGCAGTTCAGCCTGACCTTGCAGGGTTAATAAGTCACACATCAGTGATTCCTTCCTCCGAAACGTTTTATCGCTCTAATGAGGCGCAAGCACTCAGAGAAGGTAGTTATCATTATGTTCATTTGACAGCCAAGGAAATGGAAGCAGAGAGGTAAAGTGATTTCCTGAACATATTGAAGAGAGCCAGAGGCTGATCCAGACAGAAAAATCCCATTACCTGATCTCCAATTTCCAATAAGGAAATAATAAGTGCCACACTGAGCAGAGCACCTTTCCCAGCTCCCCTCTCCTTTTCTATCTGGCACTGCATAAAGACTCCAAAAAAAGGCAGTCCCATCAAACTACCAATGTAGGCAGCAGCATTCAGTTACCTCTGCACTCCTAATTTCAAAATGATGCTTGTTTCTCTGAAGCATGTCATAGAAAGACAGCAGGCTTTAAGTAGAACCTTAGGAAGGAGACTGGTGATAACACACTTCAGATCTCACACAATGCCTTCATTTGTTGCCACATTGATTTGTTGTAATTCATATTTAATATTTAAAAACAACTAAATCAGGTTCAAGGAAGTATGGTATGATTCTGTTCATTTAGCCAAATTAAGGCTCTAATGTAACAAAAACACGTGAAGAAACTGAGTCAGTGCTTCCCTGCTCTGCCTAGTCATTGCTATGGATAACTGTGCCACCCACTTTTACAGACGTGGCTGCCAAAAGCCAGGAAGAAATACTTTGCAATATCTGTCACTGGAAATAAGATTCAGAAGTAGATAAGCAATTTATTTTTCTTTTGGGAGGATGCAGTAATGAAAAAGAAAGAATAAAACCGACAGTAACGTGTTGGCACAAGAGACTTGTCTCTTGGATTTGATTTTAAAGTGGATGAGTGGGATGTCATCTATAGATGTTATGCAAAGCAACCGGAACAACTCGATCCCCAGTGAGATCTTAACCACAAGCATGAGATCTCCATGAGGAAAATGGGCAAATATGAGTTTCCCACCTGCAAACGCCTGCAGAACAGACTTTGTATGGTGAAGAAATGTAGGGATTTAAATCAGCTGCTGCCTAAAGAAAATCCAAAAGCTGGAGCAGGGTTTGAAGAACTCCCACCGCTCCTTTTGTCACTGTGCAGCTAAGGGCTTGCTGATAACATGCTGTTTCTGTTCAGGTTTGAAATCCAGTGGAACAACGGGCATTGCTCTTTCACCCAGCTAAAGCACCACAGACAGGACTCCAACTGCCCCACTCCAAAACACAACCACTGACCTCATTAAACACTGCCCAATCCCTGGTGTTAGGGCAACACGGTCAACAAGCTCCTGGGAAGCAGCCTCTTACCACCTGATTCCAGCATCATCCTCCCTGCAGCCTGGCTTCAGGTGAATCTGCAATATAAAATCTGCAGTGCTTGGGCTGATTTACCACCTTTCATCACAGTGGATAAAGGTGAATCCACAGTACTGTTACCCTGCTCCAGCTCACGAGTTGCATGCAGCACAATAAAAGCCCTGAATGTCAGCTGCTATTTTCCTATCTGCACTGGCAAGAAGGAGATGCTCCCTGAGATTCCTTGGAAACATTCATCATGCTGGAAAGACTGTCTGCTCACCATGTGACTGAGTGCCAGCTGCACAGTACCACCTCTATCTTGCATTTGGGAAAAAAGAAGAACCTGCAGAGATGCTCTTTTCGTATCAGCAAAGCAGCTTGTCCCAAAGCAGCACACCTAAGTACTGCTTCGTGGCAGGAAAAATTTTATTCTTGCTGTACATCACCCCTTTGTCACTTCTGTAGGTCTAAGACCTCCCAAAGAGAGTCTTCAGGATAACAGAAATCCAATTTGAATGCAGGCTGGAGGCAAAGCAAATCAGCTTTGCT